TCTCTCTCTCTCTCTCTCTCTCTCTCTCTCTCTCTCTCTCTCTCTCTAACCAGCTTGCATCCTCTTACTCATTCACTTATGTCCAAGTATCTTCCGCTCCTTTCATCTCTCTTAATTTAATTTCAATTAAACAATTCTTGCATGCTTTATGTGGGCGAATGTTGCGGAAACAATATCACCAAAGCCTCAATTACAATTCACGTGTACTCCCTTCTTCTTCTAATAACAATTCAATTAAGTGCAGCATTGCAAGTGCATGTTATGCAAGATTTGCAGTGTGAGTATAATGAGTCAGAATTAGACCAACAGAGAGACAAGACCTGGTTTGGTTTGCATATTACAAGATGATATAGCATAATTATAGCACAACAATGTTGCAAAAATACTGTTAACAGTTGAAATTATCCTCACCTCGACCAGCTGCACCATTAAAAATGCCACTCATGTGACATAATAATAAAACTCTCGGAAAAAGACCAATCTTTACTTTCACTCTCTCTCGGGCTGTTTTTATGGGAATATTTTGTTTTGCCCGACAGTGTGTCAAATTCTAGTTTGTTTGTTTTTCTTTTCTATTTTGCTGAAGAACTTGGTTATTCTATTTGAATGCAGACTGCAGTGAAGCAGGAGGTGTCACTTTGTTTTTTACTTGTGGTTGTTGACACAACTGACAGTCTGTTTTCTCTGGGTTGCCAGGTTGGTCTGTGTTCAGCAGTCTCAATGGCCAGCTTGTGGTCACTCAGTCTGTGTCTTTCTCAGTTTCTGGCGACTCACGGTGCCCAGATATTGTTGCTGCTAGTGTGTGATACCTGTTCGGTGCTAAATTGCATTGAAGTTGACTTTGAGTTTTTGCAGTAGATTTACTTCTCTTTCATTGTGGGGGGCCTAAAGTGCTCTGTCAATCAATAGTATATTTCCCAGTTAGAGTTTTTTAACACCGGTTTTAAGTTTAACAAACTTTACTATGAAACTGCCAAAGCAATTAATCACCGCTAACTCTAAAATGAGTGATTTTGAATGCTCCTGAATATGTGTTGGGATGTGCAGCAGAATCAATAGCATCATGTTTGGAGTCTTGAGATATATTTAGCCGTCTCTGGGGAGGTTTTCTCTTCCAGGAGGCACTGCATTTTTAATTTGGTCAGAGAAGTCTCTCTTTAAATTTGTATTTAATTGTTGTAAAGAATTTGGCCTCTTTCTGTTTCTTATTTCCTAAAGTGGAGCAGAAAATGTTTTTCTGTCATCGCATTTTGAGGGCAGAACTGACGCATCCTGTTTTCTCTCTGCTGCCAGGTTTGTCTCTGTGTATCCTCCAGTCTTTATACCCTCCTTCTGCTCGCTCATCTAACTTTGTGTTTGTCTCTGTTGTTGACGAGTGGTTTGATTGTGTTTAAATTATCTCCCTCTGTTGGCGTCTACCACTACCACAAAGGCAACAAAGCCTAAACAATTAGAATGTGAATTGTAACCGTTTGAATGAACTGTAGAGTGTGTGATGTGACTGGTGTGCATGTGCAGGATTGTGTGTTGGGGTAGTTGTGTATGTGATTGGGAGTGGATGTATCGTATGTTGAGATGTTTGTATGAGTAGACTGGGATGTGTCGTCGCAGCAGTTCATCAGTTTATGTCAGTTTCAATTTCCTACCTTCTTTTGTCAGTCCAGCAAGTCTTCTTGCCCACTGCATCGGGTTTTCTCAGAGTGTATGCTGACAAAAAAAACAAGAAAAATGAAAAATGAATCTCGCTTAAGTTTACCAAATATAAGGAAACTGTCCCCTCGACAGATAGCATCCATCTTTGACGCCAAACGCGCATACAAAACCAGCTTTTAAAGGGTGTATAATTCAATTGAAAGCAGGAGCAAGATTCATCATGTTAGTTGACATTGTTTAAAAGCAGGGAAGGCCTTCCTTTAGTACAAAACAGTGAAAACTGGGGCTGAGCATCAAGACAGGAGAAAGAGATGACTGCTCCTATAGGTGCCTGCACGAAATAAGTCAGACAAGGAACCCATGAAGTTAAATTTACATTTAAAACAAATAAACATAAACATTCCTTCTGAGTTGTGTCTCTGCTACCTGACAAATGTAAGTCGAACATTCAATTTCCTATTAGCACCGTATTGGACTTTCTTCAGAGTGGTTTGATCCCAAAGTTTCCCCGTTCTGCGATACGATATAGTAATAATTCATTCGAGATACGCTGGAGCAGATTTTGAAAATCTATTTTCAGTAACTGGCACTAGGAGTAGAGTACTATCTGCTCCTAAATGCAAATCATGCATGTTAATTCCACACTGAGATGTAAAAATGAACACATCAGCGGTGCTTGTATCAGTCCACGCCATCAGACTTCATTTGACTTTTACATCGTTTTTTGAATAGCTGCACTAGAGCCACATCCGCTCTTAAATGAGCGACAACTCTGCAATCAACAAAAAAATAATTGTTACAGAAAAGAATAATACTCGCAAATTTGCTGATTTGGAGCATAATAGTGTTTTGTTTCGTTGTCATTGGAGCTCGCTGCAGAATGAATTGAGTTGAATGCAGTGTTAGATTGGTCTTGGTATCGAGACCAGTTTTTGAAGATCTCGTCTTGGAATCGATTTCATTTTTCTGGGTTTTGTCTCAATCTCAGAGTCTAGGACGGGATTTAGTTTCAAGACTAATCCTGTCCTGTCTTGACTTGGTCTCAACCCCTCAAAGTCTTGATCTTGTCTCAGCCTCGATAAACTCTGGACTTGGTCAGGTCTTATTTTAGGTGGTCTTAACTACAACAATGACGTATGAAACAACCATACAATTTGTGGGGGATGTAATCTTGAGTCCAGGTTAGGAGACACTCAGCTTTTCATATTATATCACACACACATATTTATATATATGTGTGTGTGGTGTATATATATTTCACATAAGCAAGTATCTATTAGTGTAAAAGAAGAGGACTATGTATAATTTGTGTTTAGTGTTGCAGTCAGTTCTCTTGTGCTCCAGTCAATTCTCTAACCTCATTTAGCCTAACGCTCTGTTTATTTTATAGCTCCCATGATTTGTTGTTTCTTTAAAAATTATGAATTTAAAACTATTGTAAATTGCAGGTCTAAGCATCTGATTAGTGTATTGAGAGTATCATAAGCACTCGTATAAAATGTGCACATGTGTGTAAAGCAAAAATCATAATACATTTGTTCAGATTATGTTACAGTGAGACAAATAAGTCTAACACTTGTTTAAGTGGCCGAATAAAATATGCTGTGTGGTCCTCCTTAATTGTAATACTTCTGCATTATAGGGCCATAAAAAAGACCGTGTGTAAAATCCAACTCTTAGGTTTTAATGTTATACAAGATCAGCAGCTGATTGTGAGCAAATGGAGAAGAGAAAGTGATTTGTCTGGGGACTGGATGCAGGGTTTAATACATCAATTTTATACTTGAAAGTAATGCGCTGTTGGGCCCTATTGGAATGAATCTGCGTATATTCATGAAATTAAGATGATGATGGATTTGAAGATTTACTTGAGTAATCCATTAACTAACGTTTGACATTCAGTCTTCAGTAGTCAGACTTTATTCGGATGGTCCAGTATTGATACTCAGTATTAAATGACTCTAATATGTCACTAAAAATTGTCTAGCTTATTGTACAGCAATACTCTTAATTGTGTGAAAAGTTGTCCACATATGGTTGAGATCGGGGGTAGGATACATCTGTTGAGTAGAATACCAGAAATGTAGTCAGGGCTAGAGTTACATGGTTAATTTAGGATGATTACATGTGAGATGAATTATGACTAGGGCAGAGAGAATTATGTGTTATATAATGTATCTATGGAGCGCAGTGTTTTACACTGAAAAGGGTCTTGGGGAGTACTACTACAAATGTGGAAACAAGTTGTAAAGCCTTGTGGCTCCAGAGGGAGCTGTGTAAAGTCTGATAAATTGCCTCAAGTGATGTCGCTTGAAGCCGCGTCGGTCGGGGCTCTAGATGTTTGAAAATAAAAGAAATCTGGAGGTGTGGAGTTGAAACGAAGTGAGCCCGCCAGACCTTTGTGGCTGCTCCCCATCGTCACTCGGATGTGTGAGCTTCACAGTGCAGAATGATGCAGGTGTTTGACGTTGTTATTTAGGTGATTTGCTGAAGGAGGAACATTTCTCTGTGCTCTTCTTAAATCTTAGTTTAACACGTATGAGTATCATTTTGTAGCCAATCCTTGTCCACCATGCAAACCTGTGTGATTAAGAAGTGTGATGTGGGAACTTCAAACTACTTTTCATTAAAGTTGGAGACATCTTGAGTCCAGTAGTTTAACTTTTAAAATGAACAATATTTGCATATTCAATGCGTTCTGGATTTTCAATGATGGAGAAGGAGTTAATGTGCTTTTAAGAATATCAGACACTGATTGTTATTCGAGGCATATTATTTTTAAATGTCTTAAAACATGTCTGGAGGGGATCTTCCATTTATTGGTACCTGACAATATTCACACCTCCGGTCGACTGCTATTCTCGATGAAAATAAGATCTGCAGTTATGCAACACTATCAGATCGTCAGAATAAATTACCTCCAAAGCAAGTTTTACTTCTGTGTGTGAAACCTTTCGGCCAAACAAGGTCTTCTTCCTGGTTTTGATGTCAGCCACCATCTGTCCATCCAGTCCCTCATCTGCCAAATATTGCTGAGTATTACTTACGGGTAATTCTGGCAGGTAACCAACCATTGTTTGGGGATTGAATTTCATTATTAAAACTGGTCGGCGGGTGAAACAATCAAAATCTTGAGTAAATACCAGGAAATATCTCCGTGAGAGAACTGTGGGCTTTTGATCATGAACTACAGCAGTTGCTTGCATGGATAAAGTACTGTATTATAGAGATGAAAGAGAAGTCATCAAGGACATC